GAGAGAGAGAGAGAGAGAGAGAGAGAGAGAGAGAGAGAGAGAGAGAGAGAGAGAGAGAGAGAGAGCAAAGAGCCCTTTCACATGTTTCAGAAAAAACCGGCCCGTACTTCAAAAGGTCCCTGCCAAAAGTTAGCAAGGACCTCGTCAGCAGGAGAAGAATAGTCACTGGGATTGTAGTAAGGAGGGAGCAGGCCAGGTATATATGGTGTAGCTTCGAATTCAGGTCCGTGTTTCAGCAATTATGGGTCACTGACTTACTAACTTGGCATGTGATTTTCAGGGCTTCACTCCACTGCTGACCAAATGTGCAAAACTAGAATGAACCTTCTCCTAGAAACTGGAACCGTACAAGCCATATGTTTTTCTTTTGTGCAAGCGCTGATGAGGGGAGCGAGGCCCTTTGGGCCACTGCATGTAAGAAAAGGAAAAACAAAAAAACGAGACAGCTACTGTGGTGTTTGGAGTAAGTTCGTAACCCATAACTGTTAGAACACAGACCTGAATCCGAATCCAGAATATATTGCTGGCCTGCTCATGTTCCTCCAGCAGTTCAATGCACGTTCTTCCAAATGAAAGGGATCCCTGCTAATTCTTTGCAGGGGACCCTTTGGAAAAGAAACTAAATCCAACGAGGAGTATGATGTGGCCCCAATTTTTTTTTTTCTTTTTCTGTGCAGCGACTGCAGTTACAATTTTCAAAAGGGAGGCACATGTTTGGTTACCACAGCCTGCCCTTTTGAATTTTTTATTTTTTTTAATTCATAATTGCGCCGCCGCATGATGGCCCGCATCACGTGTGCGCATGTGCTATGCGGCGCAAGTGCGCAACCTTTTTCGCACGTGATGCGCCGAATGTGTCGTTTAAAGTTTAAACATTAAACCTTTTTTTTTCCTTTTTTTTTTAAGAGGGGGGGGGGGGGAGAGGACAAATGCTCTAGTCTATTTGTGGGGAGCAGCACGTGCTGGGAACCGGGCCCAGCATCCCATATAGAATTATATGAAACATTTGAGATACTGGGGCCATTACCCGGCTTCGACTGAGAGAAAAAACATGAATAACTGCTGACCTATTACGGGCACCCTTTTAATTTTCTTCTCCTTTTGCTCCTATGACAGTGCACAACATCCTGACGATCTCCGAAAACACATCAACGGCTGACACCATGGAAGAAACCAAAAGTACATCGTACGTTTGGGCAGTGACTCACGGCATGACTGAAGGAAACACCAGAGGGTCACATCACATCACACATTTTAAGAGTGACTTCCAGCACGACTGGAAGGCAACCTTATACGTGCCCAACAAACGCAGAGAGACACAACTCTCACCCACCTAACGTCACTGGGCGCAGGCCACCGTGTCTGAGAACGCCCGGCATCAGCCGAAAACCCCAGCGACCTGCCTGGCGCCGGCTGAAAATGTCCAAGCAACCCTGCCTCCCTCTCCCCCTTGCTTTCTCCATTGTCCAACTGTTTGCGTGTCTCTATGTCCCTCTGTCATTCGGTCATCGTCATCTCCTATCCACAGGGCACTTCCAAACCACTGCGAAATCATCATGATTTATGACACTGGTCACCATGTGTCGCATTGTTTTGCAATTATGTTATAGACCAAAAAACGAGTCTTGGAAAATGACACAGACANTCATCATGATTTATGACACTGGTCACCATGTGTCGCATTGTTTTGCAATTATGTTATAGACCAAAAAACGAGTCTTGGAAAATGACACAGACATACAGTCACATACTGAGAGGAATAATCTGCAACGTGTAGTTCTTCCTCGTATAATCTCCTTTTCTGTTCATTAAATTGATTTGTCTTTCCCTGTGGGATCATGGAAATGATCTGTCCAAAGTTTACGTTCACAATTTTCGATCTTGCAATCCCTGACATCTGCTTTCTCCTCTGCTACTCCATTTTGCTCTCTCTACATCGTTGGGTTATCTCCCGCAATTTCTTTTGACACTGTTGGAGCAGCGCCAGTCCTTTTTGTTTTTTCTTTTCCCCCTTTCTGTCCATCATGCTCTTGCAAGCCACACATTTATAAACATGTAGCATCCTTCCCAACTCTCTCCTTCTCCCTCTCTCAGTTTCTTCCTCTCTCTCTCTTTCCCCTCCCATAGACTCTTCCTCCCACTCCCCCCCCCTTTCCTTTCTTCCCTGCCCCATTTTCTGCGTGTCTCTCTGTTTTGCAATATTGCATGTGCTGCTCAAAGATGACCACGTGGCTGTGGTCGATACTAGTCGAGCAACCAAACCGACCGGGAACTTGTTAATCATTACCTGTTTCAGTTTTGTGTGACCTGCAAGTGGCATTGAATGTGTTACAGCAGTCCTGAGTGGTGTTGTGTGTGGTCTGAGTGAGTAAGGACGCTACAGCCATGCCGGGGTGGGGTGGATATCATGGCCGGTATGGTTCCACTTTTGTACACTGTCTCATGCCTGCCGTGGTTGAGAGTTTTGGCTCTTGTGGCCAAGGGCGCCAATTTCAGTACGTGCATGCCCGGAGGAGGTCTGAGGCCCCCTGTACTGATCAGTAAACGACTTTCACTTTCACTTTGCAACAACTTTTCAACTCTTGTGTGTTCCCATACCACACCCTTCTGATCAGTAAACGACTTTCACTTTGACTTTGCAATAACAATTCATCTCTCTTGTGTATTCCCATACCACACCCTTCTCTTGTTTTCTTTTTCCCCCCTATTTTTCTTTCTTCATTCGGTATAAAAGGGCCTTTACCTGTTATAGGCCTCAGGCCTTGCCAAAGTAATGCAGCACGGGCCTTGTAAAAGTAAAACATTGTGAAAAGGTATCTCGCCAGGGCTCAGAAACGTGAAAGCAGGTCAAAGGTCAAGTTCTCTGTCAACAGGCACATCTAAATCTAAGGCAAAGGGTATTGTCAAAGGACTTACCTGTTCACCAGGAGATGTGTATGTCATGGCTGTTCGGGTAAGGGTGTGTCTGTACGTGCAGGCAGTGCACCTATTCGTGCAAAGGAAAGTGCCTGTTCAAGTAGTAAATGTGTCTGTTCGTTTAGAGTTGTGCCTGTCCGAAAGTGAAGTCAGTAGGCACAGTCCCAGTTCTGGTCTAAGTCAAGGGGTCAGTCCAGATCCAGACTCTCAAGTCYAAATCCAGGCCGAAGTGCCTCAGCAGCAGTTGAACCTCATTGGGGCTACACTGGGACACATGCAATGCAGGGTCTGGGACAAAGGAAAGGCCGAATTGAGCCAATGCAGACCCAGCGAGGAATGGCCAGCACTATAAAGGGAGCTGCCTCCCTCATTCCTCGCCAGATCTCCACTGGCTGCAATGCGTGGAAGTGCTGGTGCACTTGTGCGCTGAGTCAGGAGGAGCAGCGCTGGAGGTAGAAGATGCGCTGAAGGAGGGAGGAAGAAGCCTGTACGCTGGAAGTGATGCAGCCATAGCTGCCCAGCGAGTTAGTATTAGTAGTAGTGGGTTAGCATGTAGGTATGAGTAGTATTCAGAGTAGATCCTCATGAGTGAAGAGTGTATGCATCGTAGGAGGAAGGGACTGAGGCTGGGAGTGTTCATTCAAGGTTCGGCTATGGAAGATACTTACCTGAGTTGCATGTGACCTGCAGAGGTGGCGCTGATGAGTAGTGTCCACATTGATGACTTGGAGACTATCTGCAGGAGTAGCGCTGATTCAGTGGAAGTCATATTGATGAGTTGACAAGAGATTGGTGTTGCGCTGATGAGCGCTGGACTCAGGGGAACTTTGAAACACTTTGTATTCATATTTCTGATAATATAAGCTGTGAAACTCGGTCCTCTTCTCATCTACCTTTGTCTATGACTTGAGACTATTGCTCGTGGTGTGTGAGGATGATGCATGACTTGTACACACTTGCGTGAAAGGGTCCCCAGGACCCATGCAAATTTGGTATCGGAGCAGATGCTCACTACTCTCATAGCGCTGGTCTGATCCAGGCCGGCGAGAAGAAGTGGTGATGGAGGAATAGCGAAGGAGGGAGGAGGAGAAGAAGAGTGTTGATAGTGGGGGGAAGCAGGCGGAAGAAGAAGTGGCAAAGTCTACTTACCTGGAGCGTGCGGAGAGTCGTGGAGCACCACCGGCGGTATCTTCAAGAAGAGAGAAGCACCTCCTTTTCCCTGAACCTGCATGCATGTGTGTGTCCCCTACCTTCTCTCTCTCTGACCCTCTGAAGGTGACTGCTGCTGATCTGGTCAGGAGTCGAAGTCTGGATCTGGGGTGTCATAGCTGTCAGGTCTGAGCCGTCAGAGTCTGATGACCCAAGGGTGATGTGTCAGGGACTGGTCTCACTAAAGTAGGTGGTCCAGCATTCTGTGGATAGGAGTAGGTCTCTCTCCTATCCCTCTTGATAGGCAGACTGGGTATCGTTATCAAGAACCCAGGATCGATGTGGGAAGTGGCTATGTGCCACGTCAGATAGCATGTACCAGGCAGCATAAGAATGGTATTGAGCATCTACAGGGCCTGTTAAGCCCGGAAGAAAGAAAAGGGTATACGAAGTATCTCTGCCTGGGTGGGTAAGTGAACCAATTGCATCTGACTTCTTTGCGCTATACTCCATATCTGCACCAAGCAACCAGCCAAGTTAGTACCAAAAAAGAGAAAGCAAGACAACAGGAACACATCACCAAACGTTCGATCCAGGAGGCCAGACAGCACATAAAAAAATTAAAAAAAATTAGACATATTTAAGTTTATTGTAGTTTGATCTATTGTTGATTGTGCGCAGCACCTTCTATCGTTAAACAAAAGAAAAAAGGGAGAAGGAAAGTATAAGTACTCCATTACCGCAAGTCAAGACCAAGTCTGTCAGTGGGATAGTACCTTGGTGACCCGGCGGAGGATCTCCTGTGCCGGCAGTCATCATGGATGACTATCCCATCAAGGGCCTATTGGCCCTTTCTGTCTTGTTGGGGCCGCTGTTCCGGCTTATGTTCCCACTGGGGTTCGGGCGTGTGTGCACGTCCCGCATGCTGATGCGGTCTGGAACAGTGAAGCCTGGCCCTACACCTGCAGAGCAGGCAGAGATAGATCGTAAGTTGGCAGAGAAGAAAAAGGAGAGAGAAGCCAAGAAAAAACAGAAAGAAGAAGTCAAGAGGAAGATGAAAGAGAAGATGGAGAAAGAGTTGGAAGAAGAATTGAAGAGTATAGAAGAAAGCGAAGTAGAAGAACATGAGGAAGACCAAATATTGCAAAGACATCGCCAAGATATACCTGAAAGCAGCACAACGATCCGCCTTCCCGTTGAACCGCTGGACTGGGGCAGCCGGTACTACTACTCCAGCGAACCATTAAAGGAAACTGATGAAGAACGAGATACGTTCATCGCCAAGTTGGCCACTGTCACAGATGTTGTTGAACGAAATCTGATTCTGGAAGAGAAAAGGTCTGAACTAAATCACAGGTTGTTGGCCGCTAGGCAGCAAGAAGTAGAAGAGAAAAAGAAGTTGCATGCGGAGGGGGAGAAATTGCAGAAAGCTCTAGAAGCGCAAAAGGAAAGTCCCTCTGAAACCGAAGCACAACTTGCTCTCCTCAGGGAGACAGTCCTCAACACAAGGCAAGATATAAAGTTAATGCATCAGACTCTACAAAGGGTTGAAGCGCATCGAGTTGAATTCAAAAACGTCTAGAATAACTTTGTGGAAAAGTCAGCCAAGGATGTTGACCAACATGTGCAAACTTACATCCAGGCTTTGGACGAACATATTAATAAAGTCTTCACCCCGGAAGTCGTAGAGAAGATTGTGAAGGGAGCTGGAGGCGACGACGGAGATGGGGATGGCGACGGCGATGATGATAAGAAAAGAAAGAGGAAGATTGGGGATCCAAAGGAAAAACTTCCTCAGGAGACCGGGCACGTTAACAAGATAAAGCTTAAGCTGCCGTGGACCTACAATGAAAAGAAAGATGAAAGTGTATTGCACTGGGCGGCGGCGATTGAAACTTACGTGTACGGGCAACGCATTCCTTATTGGGACAGGGTGTTGATGGCAACTTCGTGCATGGGAGGCGCTATGAGCTTTGCCATCTCGCTGCAGAAGGAAGCCGGATGCAGCTCTATGGTAGAGTATTCGCAGCAAACGCAAATCGAAGATTTCCTTAAGTTAATAAGAGAAAGATTTGAGGACGAAAACTTGGCAAGACGTACGGAAATGTTGATCCTCAGCCTTCCTGACAGGAAATGGAAGAGTACCTCTGCGCTAAAGGAAACTATGGATGAACTATTGCAATGCCCTGATCACGGATTGACGTCGGCCCAAATCTTAAACAGCTTTGCACGAGCGCTCCCGGATCCCCTAAGAACACAACTCTATTCCCGTACCAAGGAAGAGGGGATGACCTATGAGAAGTTCGGCAAGATCGCCATAGATCACGCCGGCTTCCTCGCTGAAGCAAATTACTGCTATTACTGGAAAGATCTGCAAGCGGGTAAAAGATGGCAAAACCGCACGATCTCAGGGTCCATACCTGGGAAAGACAGTCTCCTTCTAACCTTTAAGGAAGGAGGCGCCGAGACCATCTCCTGGGATCAGGTAGACTATGGTATCGATGAACCCAACAGACCGGTAGCTCAGGAGGGGAGTTACGTGGCTGTTGCAGCCCGCGGGGGAGGGCGTCAAGGAAGAGGGCGTGGCCGAGGAAGAGGTCGCGGCCGCGGTGGAAGAGGATTCGGCATCCAGAGGGGTGGTGGTGAAGGAAGCCACTACGTGGGAGGACGGGGAAATGGTCCCTCATACGGTGGCCGTGGTTCTTACTCCACCTGGGGTAGAGGAAGAGGCTCATGGTACAACAAGTGGGATAAGCCATATCCACCACATCCAGGCCTACCGGAAGGAGAGCCTTGGAAAGAGTTGGGAATTACAGAAAAAGTCTGGGCCGAAAGGAAGAAGGCAGATCAATGCCTTAAATGTGGGGACCCCGACCACATTGTCCCCTATTGCCCTGACTATCGGGGGGCAAAAGGGAACAGCCAGTAGAGGTGTCAGTTCCCTCTACCGGGGCTTCGAATGTTGAAAAATCAGAATCCTCCCATTCGAAGGCCCCAATGGCAGAAACTGAAGAGGAAGGAAGTCCCCATCTAGTGTCCTGTCCAGAGGTGGCAAACGTATGCATCTCTCTAGATGGATCCCTCGCTGGCGTGGGTGATGAGTTGGCCGCTCGTCGCCAAGCCTGGACTGAAATGCGTAAAAAGAAAGGACAGTTAATAATTGCAGATCTAGAGATAAATCGAATAAGAGTAGGAGGTATGATAGACAGCGGGTCTACACACAGTTATATTAGTAAAAGAGGATTGCAGAAACTGCGTCTTGGGCTTAAGGTTAAGAAGTTAGATGAGCCCATTGTAAGTAAGTTAGCAAATAGTAGTGAAACTGTTATGGACCGATACGTTGAGGGGGTACAAGTATACTTCCGGCTAGAGGCAGAGGGGAAGGTGGAACGTGTTCTCCACTCTCTGACCTTCTTGGTGGAGGATAACTTGCCCTTTGATGTGTTGCTAGGAATGGATTGGGGTGAGGCTGCACATGTGGATCTAAAGTTAAGGGAACATGAATGTTGGCTCCCAAGTCCGCAAGGAGGTAAGAAAAAGATTCGCCTCTACCATGAATCAGGAAAAGAAAGCAGCCTAGCTCACTGTTGTATGAGTGCCCCAGCGTTCGCTTGCCATGTTAAGAAACATAACTTGTATGATCAAGTCTTTGTTGCATATGTGTGCCCAATAAAGGAAGGAGAAACAAAGGAAGAAGTCAGGTTCCCAAGAGATTGAGAGGATCCTGAAAGAGTTCGCAGATGTGGCTGAAGCCCCAAGCGGTGTGGTGGAAAGACCAATCCGCCACCGCATTGATATCATTCCAGGGAGCGCGCCCCCGAAGGGGCCTATCTATCGTATGTCGCCCCAAGAATTGGATGAATTGCGAACCCAACTCGATGAGTTGCTGAAAAATGGTTGGATAAGACCTAGCTCCTCGCCCTATGGTGCACCTGTGCTCTTTGTACCTAAGAAAGACGACGGCGCTCGAATGTGTATCGACTATAGGAGATTAAATGATATAACCGTCAAGAATGCCGAACCATAACCGCGAATAGACGATTTGCTGGATCGCGTGCAGGGTTGCAAAATCTTTCAAAGATTGATATGAAGTCCGACTACCATCAGATTGAAGTTGAGCCGGAAGACCAACATAAGACTGCCTTCAGGACAAGGTATGGGCATTATGAGTTCGTAGTTTTGCCCTTTGGTCTCACAAATGCCACTGCCACTTTCCAAAGAACGATGGACGAACTCTTTCGTGAATGGCTCGATAAATTTGTTGTGATTTATTTAGACGATATTTTGATTTTCAGCAAAAATGAAAAGGAGCATGTTGAGCACCTTCGACTTGTGCTAAATAAATTAAGAGAAGCAAAACTCAAGTTAAACCCAAAGAAGTGTGAATGGGCTAAGCGTCAGGTGCTATACCTAGGACATGTGATTGATGGAGATGGGGTCAAACCGGAAGATGCCAAGATAGCAGCAATCAGAGATTGGCCGAACCCCCGCACCTTGACTGAGTTGCGGTCGTTCCTTGGGTTAGCCAACTACTATCGCAAGTTCGTACGACACTTTACGATAATAGCTGCTCCCCTTCGCCGGTTGCTTAAGAAAGAAGTAATTTGGAAGTGGGATTCAGACTGCACGATGTCTTTTAAGCGTCTGAAAAAATGTTTAATTAACTATCCGGTTCTAAAGGTGGCAGACCCTTCCTTACCTTTCGTAGTCACAACCGACGGTAGTCAATATGGTATAGGTGCTGTACTCCAGCAAGATGATGGACATGGGTACAGACCTGTAGAGTTTATGTCTTGTCGTTTACCTAACGAGAAGGTGGCCGCTTCAACGTATGAACGAGAGTTGTATGCTCTGCACGAGGCTCTCAATCATTGGCGACACTACCTTCTGGGGCGGCATTTTAAAGCATACTCTGACCATGAAACACTTCACTGGCTCAAAACGCAAGCTCGAATGACACCTAAATTAACAAGGTGGGCTGCAGAGATTGATATGATCGACTTTGAGTTGAAGCCAGTAAAGGGTAAGTACAACGTTGTTGCTGATGCACTAAGTCGTCGATCAGACTTTTTCGGTGCTATTGTGACCTATCTAGATGTAGGTGCTGACCTACAAGAAAAGATTAGAAATGCGTATCCCTCTGATCCTGTTTATGGAACCATGATTAAGCTAGTGCAAGAAAAGCCAGCAGAGTTTCCCGATCATAAAGTAACTCAGGGTCTATTGTTTGAACGAACGGATGTGAATGATAGGCTGTGTATACCCAATAATGAAGACATCAAAAGTATGATCTTGGGGGAATGCCATGATACAGAAGGCCATTTTGGGTGGAAGAAAACCTATGGGACTTTGTTACGTTCCTACACCTGGCCTCGAATGAAAGCAGATTGTATCGCGTATGTGCAAGGTTGTCAAGTGTGCCAACGAAACAAGAGCACCACGCAATCGCCCCTTGGGCTACTTAAGCCCTTGCCTACCCCTACAGGCCCTGGAGACTCTGTCTCTATAGATTTCATGGATACTAAGGTCAAAAGCAGAAATGGGAAAACGCAAGTAATGGTCATAGTGGATAGATTTACTAAGTATGCTGTTTTTGTAGCTTTGCCTTCAGAAGCAAAGACCGATCTGGTTATTCGGGAATTCTTTAACCATTGGGTAAAAGACTTTGGACATCCCTTAACTATTGTGAGTGACAGAGATACCAGGTTCACGAGTGAACAATGGCAGCAACTGATGAATGTATATGGCTCTAAGTTGACTATGTCATCAGGCAGACATCCTGAGACTAATGGCCAGACTGAGCAGATGAACAAGATTTTGCAGCAAACTTTACGCATGTACATCCGTCCTGATCAGATTGACTGGGATGAACATTTGCCTAAAGTTGCTAGTGCCTATAATAACTCTGTACAGTTGTCTACGTGTAAGACTCCTATGGAGTTACATTTGGGATGGCGTCCACGTAGACCCATTGATCAATTGAACCCGGATCAAGTACATAAGCTTCCTATAGGGACTAGTGAATTTGCAGTCCAATATCAGAAAGACATTGAGAAAGTAAAAGAAAATATACTCAAAGCACAGCATCAGATGATTGAACAGGCAAATAAACACAGACGCCCGTCTCAATTTGCTGTAGGAGATTTG